GGCCCTATCACTTTTGGATGGTATCTTATGAAGCTGGTCCCTGGATATATGCTCGCCAATCATCACATCCTCTCTTTCTGACTATCTTTCCTCTACACATGGAGCACTTCACTCAACTCCAACTTAAACATCACATACAAAGGAAAGATAAGCAGGAAGAAAATCCGAAGGCATTGGCAATACCGTTGCATGTTAAAAAGAAAGAAGTAGATTCACGTTGAACTTCGTTTTCGTGGTGCATAACTCCTCTTTCCATAGGTCTTATTAACTTCAAAGGGAGCTCCGTGCATGTAAATGATTATATTTATTGGATGCGCCAACTCCTTCTTATCCTCCAGGCACAATTAGAAATATCATAGAAAAATGAATGTCAGAGACTTGGATCCATATTTGATATTCTATGGAAAGTTTCCCATAGTTACAGACATTAAAAATCCTGCCCAATCGTCTGGTTATGAATTTATAGTATTTCTTCTTCTATATCCTTGGAATTATTTTTCTCTGGTTTTAGAACATTCTTCTTACATTAAAGGGGAAAAATTCTCTTTAGATCCAGATAAACTTGTGATAAAAAGCATAGCAGTAGTACAACTTGGTATAGTAATAAAAATTTAGACTGCAAAGCTCCTGTCTTTCAAGGAACTTTTAGTGCTTCCCAGAGAATAGCACATTAATACTTACAGGAACTCTGCTTCTACTTCAAGTACACTCTGGGAGCTGCTGTTAGTGTCTAGAAACTAGGCTCCAAGATGTTCATTTTAATATTATAGTCACTAAACTACACTGTAATTTCAGTGATCAGTGTAAATCTGGGCTATTACTAATATTCACATTAAATAGTTGGATGGTTCCAGTTGAAATCTCTCCACTCTCATTTACACCAATGGAAGGTGTATGAAGCTCTGTGCTTTTTATACAAAGTTGTTTGTTCACTTTAAATTCAATAGATATAAGCCTCCTGGTGGAAATGTCTCTAGTGCTGAGTATGACAAGAAATTTTATGGCCTCACTTTGTGCTATCAGTAAATATAAAGACCTTGGAAGTGCTACAGATACAGTCTCAGCTACATCCTGTGTTTGTACAAATCCACCTAAGAGGACACACCATGTTTGTAAAGTGACAAATGTGGGGGAAAAATCCTCTAACATTAAGTACATAGTACTATTTTGAAAGATAAGAGGCTACACCTAAACAATAACAACAAATAAACCCCATTTGTTTGGGTTTATTTGGGACAAGTATATTTATTTGGGAAATATATCCACATGTAATGGGTGGTCTGAAAGATACAAATGCTTTTTGAATAATGTTTTGATAAGCAATGAATTACAAAAGATTCATTCCAACTAGTCTTATAGACAAATAAAAGCTATCAAAGTACTTCACATCCTTTTTGGATTATTTTCCAGCAATAAATAAGCAAGGGCAGTCTAACTTTAGCAAATATTTATAGAGCTAAACAATCCAAAGTCCATATAACAATCAAATTTCTGGTGAAAATGTGTGTAAGTAGGTTTATTTTGAAAGGAAAAGTCCTACTCCCAGTGTCATAACCAATTAAATTCTCCAGGTAATGACCCCATTTGCATAGTGAGTAGAACCCACAAGTGGGAATTTTAATGGGTACACCACTTGAGTAGAGTAATTGAGAGTGACACAATTTGAACTAGTTTTGTGCTTACCCCACTGAAAATTCTACTCATATTATTTTTAATGTCAAGCTACAAGTCAAATTTCAAGATGATGGATTTGTTCTTTTTTAAGCACCGAGTTTGAATAAAAGAAATGCTTTAATTCTGTTATGCATTGCATATCTTTAACTACTCTGTAGTTCTTGTTTCTCACGGTTGCTTCATTTCCTTCAGTGATTGGAATTTAATTTTATTCATTAATTTGTGAATAATTAGATAAAAATAATAACCTCGGCAGCTAAATTGCTTTTGGATTACAATTTAATGTACTTTTTTTTTTTTTTACCAGAATATGTTTTATAGTGAAGCTGGCATAATAGTTTACTAAAATGTAATTGTGTAAATATGCCCCATGATTACTTCTGATGATCTAATAAAATGTAATACAGTGTATATACTTGAAGTATTTCATTCTTCCTTCAGCTCTACACCAATAAAACAGTTTCTACTGAGTTGTGCTCTGAAGGTGTTACTTTTAAAGGATAGTCTCCTTATCTTTCAGCCACTATTCATGTCCTTGAAAGAATTGTGCATTCTGGTTGAAAGGATCATATGACGTCCACATTAAATTATATAATAAAGGTGATTTTAAAACTCTAAGAGTCAGTCACATCTGATAGACTGTGCTTTCTAGGTTTTGAGGTGACATTTCAAAACTTCTTTTGTTTCACTTTAAGATTGCTTTCGATCCTGTTTGTAGGTGTTTGACACATCTCTGCCACATCTGTAATTGGCATAGCATCCAGCCGACAGGCTCTGTACATCTTTACACTGCAACCTACCAAGTTAAGAAATGTATTGCTTCAATATAAAACAGCAGGCTGTTTTTAGACATAGTTACTAGTGCACAAGCTTTAATATGGCTTGGCTTCATCCTATAATGAGATCTTTTGGTTCCCTGCTCAACAGGCTTTTATTCCTTTGCAAAAGGCTATGAACTATGTCAAGTGGATCAGCTGCTTTTGTACACCCTCTTTCTTGGCTTTGGAATGTAATTCCTTTGCTTCTACCCCTTTATGCATCAGACAGAACTTAAGAACCTTTTCCATTTTTTTTCAAGTTAAACTTAGAATTTGTTTGAATTTGCTTTTCACCATTTTCTTAATAATTACATTCTCAACTAAACCTCACAAAAGAATTGCCTGGAAGTGAACACCTAATTACAGTGCTACATTTTGTCTTTAACGCATTTATCTCTACCCCCTGTCAGTAATGGATCAAAGGGTGGTTTTTTTTCCAAAATGATTTCTTCTCAGTCCTGACCACTACCTTCATGACTCTTTAGGGCTTACTAAATGGGATGAAGTGAAGTGAAGGATATAGGATGTTAATAATGGGCAAACAAATAAATAATATTACTAGAACTACTAGCTATAGTTTGATTGGGAGGCAGGAAATGACTTATGTTGACCCCTGACGGTTTGAGCACTTTTGCTGTGGGCCTTGTGGCAAATATCACGCATTGTCCCAGCCACACGAACACGGTGATCTGAATTTCTACTTGCTGAGACTCTACATTCTGGGCTCTGATTGGTTATAGCTTCGCTTACAGGACTTTTCATCTCTAGATTGTCTGTTGATTTAATTAAAATTTGAGCATCTATGCAATATTTTGAGTTTACTTTTAAAGTAAAAGAGGTATCGTTGTTCACTAGGGATATGACATGGAAAATACATAATGGGTTTTGTCACCAATGATACATTTTTGCAAATATCGCTCTCCATATGAAGATGGCATCACACTCTGTTCCATTTTAATGAAGACCTCTAAAAATAATATTAAACGCCCATGTAAACAGTAGGAGTCTCTCTGTTGGATCTAACACACTTCTCATAGGAGAAGTGACATACTTCTTCCCTGGGTTGATTCTTCTTGAGGGTTAGGTGACTTCCCTGAGGTTTCTTTTCTTTTCTTTTTTTTTTTTTTTTTTGGGTCCGGTCGTGGGACCTGAACTCTGGGCCTGGGCGCTGTCCCTCAGCTCTTCAGCTCAAGGCTAGTACTCTACCACTTGAGCCACAGCACCACTTTGGGCTTTTTTCTTTTTGTTTATGTGGTGCTGAGAAATCGAACCCAGGGCCTCACGCATGCAAGGCAAGCGCTCTACCACTGAGCCACCTTCCCAGCCCCTCCCTGAGGTTTCTTATACCAAATCAAGCACAGAAAAAGCACTTCTTTAGTCTAAGTTCATTGCTTCTAGGGTCACACAGAAACAAAGGGCTAAATACTCAACCTTTGCAAAAGAGCAATAATTTCAACCCTACCAATACATCAGCCATTGTTTCACACAAAACTGATGTGCCTGACTGCGTTAGGTATAAAGGGAGAGAAAAATGCTATTTGATAAAATGTATTTTGTCTCGCAGACAAAATAAAGCAATCTTTATGCCCACAAATAAGAAGAAATTAGAAGAGGCATATAAGTCCTGAATAACTTGAAAACTAATCTTTAGAGTAAGTAAAATATTCATCAGGAAGATGGAAAAAGCTTATAGTTAACCATCATTCAAGAAGGCAAGCCACAACATCCCTGGGGCTCCAGATTAAGTTATTGGAATCTGTGATATTTGATGTTTATAACATTAGAATCTAGGGCATTGATAGAACAAAGAAAATGAGTGACTGTGTAAATCTTCTTAGATAACAATGACTGTTCAGGTGGAAAAAATGAATACAACTGATACACTGTCAGAACACAAGAACAAAATTAACACAGGTGTGGTGACTCACACCTGTAATTCTAGCTACCATGGAAACTCAGACCTAGAAATCATGGTTTCAGGCCAGTTTGAGAAAAACCTGAAGAAAAATGTGTAAGACTGTATTTCAACAGGAGAATCTGGGTGTGATAGTACACAACTGTCATTCCATTACAGTGGGAAGTAAGACACAGGAAGATCCAAGTTTAGGCACAGGTATGGGCAAAAATCAAATCCTGTCTTAAAATAACCAGTGCCTAAAAAAGGCTGGAGGCATGGCTCAGAGGTGAGTTCCTGTCCTGAATGCCTGAGTTCAAAGTTCAGCACTACCAAAACACTACTACTTTTAGAAACAAAAATCTTCTCCTAAATACTTAAATTGTCTTTCTTTAAAAACTAAACTCTAAATATTTCCAAATATTGCGCCACTAAAAATCCTATACGTGATTGCTTGTGATGTTTTGCTTGAAAGTCATTAAACCTAAGTTAATAAATCTCTGAGTAATTTTTGTTTACTGTTTGACCTCAGAATAGGTAAAATAGAGTAAATATCCCAGAGTAAATAAAATCAAACCACTAACCCTGTACAAAACTTGTATTTTGACACACTGTGAGTTTTTACAAGAGCACTATATTTTGATATCATGACTTGTGTTAGCCAATGTTCTGTATCTTTAAAGTCCATATGTGGCCATGTGTCAAATGATTTACATAGGAAACAAGGAAGTCTTCAGAAAGGGATATAACAGGCAAAATCTTAGTTATAGTAGAAGTCATTCAAATATAAAGTCACATAGCACTTAAGTATGAAAGTAGGCTAAAGTACAATAAAGAAGTCATTGTTTAATTTTACAATATTCAGGATAATACAGGTCCAGTTTAAAAATATTTAAGATTAATTTTCCACATTTAAAAAGAGACCAAATACCTAGCTCAATTACAGTGCTGAATAAGGATAATATAATTCAACAAAACATTGTAAATACAGAAATTCTAAAACATATTGAGTATCTTTTCACATTTGCCTACTCTGCTACTCCTGATTCCTTCTTCTATTTCCTTCTGAATTATACAAAATGCTTCACGGAATGACTGCCTGGAATAGACAACTGAGGGGAAAAAACAAACACAGAAGTCAGAAAACATAACTGGTCTCCAGGACATCCTCTGCTACAGAGAAACACTTCAAATGTGTTAATATGTTCATTACAAGTAGTAGCAGGATACATTTAAAAGTCAAGAGAGATCACTTGGTTGAAAAATGGTATAGGATTAAAAGTCAAATATTCTAAGAATTCCAGATCACTAAGAGGCTTACATTATAAACAGATGCGATTCTTACTCTAATGTGCAAGCTTAAGTTAACTCATGATAGATAGAATTATATTCAAATTTTTATATCTAATATAATAATTAAAACTCTAGGGAAAAATGAGGGAAACAGCTACATTTTAACATCCTAACAATGTAAAAGTTGTGTGTATGCAAATAGCACTAAAAGTTTCGAGAGTTTGCTGTTTTTCTTTCTTTTTTCAAACCTTTTAAATAAATAACATAATTCAAAACTAGGCTTTGTCTCAAAGGAAAACTATAGGTAACATTGTCATGACACAGGATTAAAGAAAATGTCTAGCTCTCTTAAAAGCCTAGATTTGCTAAAGGCTTCCTAAAATGTGCTGTTAATGTTGTTATTATCTACTTGATATTCAGTTAAATAAAACTAGTAATAAGTACGACTCACAATGTATACTTTCAAAACTTCTAAAAGGGTCATATTGAAGTAAACTAAAGTACAATTTTGGGAATGTTCAACCTCAGGAGAATGCATAGTTTGAAAGTATTCTGCCTTCCAATTGAGTGACACAATATCTATTACTCCAATTACTATATATATATGTATACTATATTATATATATGCAAAACATATATATATATGTATATAAATCTTATAACTGACATACTTCTTCATACTTGGGGATCTTGATAACCTGCCACATAGGCCAAGTTTGACAGAGAATTATAACACTAAAATTTGGTCACAGCAGGGAATTTGTGAGCTTCTCTGCACTAAAATCCCAGGTTTTCTGCACTAGAAATCAATGTGCTTATGATATATAGCACTGGGTAAGAAACAATCCAAAATATACAATCCACACCCTTCTCCCAAAACACCTACATTTTACAAAACAAAAGAAAGCCTTTGAAAAGTTGAAATCAGGATACCTGCGTTTCGGTATTTTAAAAAATCCAATTTAGTTTGTCAAAAGTTTGTGAGGACTATATGTTAATTAGGTAGTATGTTTTCATAAAAAATATAGCATAATATTTATGTTGTATTGTTACAACTAAAAGGCAAGTTTACAAAGACATGTTTCTTTTAACTATAAAGAACACACAGTTCAGACTGTCCATGAGAAGACAAGCTTAAACCTAAATAACTTATTCTAGTAGCAGATCAAGTAGCCATCCTAAGAGGTTGCCTAGAATGCCACATCTTGTTCAAGCCTTGTTTTGTATTCTGGTAATTCTCTTGGTTTTTTTCCTATGGTGTTTTACGTTTCTCCTATTACAATGTTCATTTCAGTATGCCTTATGAGATAGTTCATTGTCTGCTGCAGTGCATACTGCTGAGAACTATAGATGGGAAAGAGATGCTGTCCCTTACATGGCCTGGGCAACACCGCACCCAAAGCAGACATTCAACATCTGCTGAACAAGTGCTTCCCAGCGATGGTGTGTCTGTTTGCCAAAGTTTGCTGAAAATAAAGAATGCTTAGTTTTAGCTTCTAATAGATAAGTAACGAAAAATAAATGGTTGGGATTAAATACTCACTAAGAAATAATATATTTGGAGTACATGGCTCCTGAAAAAGCGTAGATGAAACAGAAATATCAACAGAAAAAGAGGAGCCATTTAACATGTCCCTTGGTTAATACAAGCTAGTTAGCTTTTCACATATTAAACCATATGGATTTGTGAGGGGAGGGAAGGCTTTCAGAGACTACTTAATATAATGACTGCACAGTGCAAATACTGAATTGCTTCATGAGAATTTCTCCCCCTTTAAAGGAAAAAAAATTAAACATTCTCCAGTTTGAACACAAACGAAGGATAAATACTTATGAAGGGAAACAAATTCCACAGCATTCCATACAGATTTCCAGACAGTCTGATGATTCACAACAGGCATCCATGATGCCACAGTCCATGTCACAAGGACAGTTACAGTCGTCCCCCATCTCATCGCCACAGCAACAGCAGCAGGCTTCCGAGGTGCAGATCCCACAAGAAGCTTGTCCCAGGACAATATTGCAGAGGGTCAGGAATTCACAGAACAAGCATGCCAGGATACAGTGGACACAACAGTCTTCGTTTTCAGTTAGAAGGGGAACACATAGTGGAAAAAAAGGAACACAAGACATACACGTCATCAATAGACTGAATTGAACGGAGTTATAATGCAAATGACATACAGACCTAGACTTTGTAAGCTCAAGACAGGAAATCTTTAGAAGCACATATAGCATTCTAGTTTGGTGTACATGCCTGAACACAACTGTGTTCTGACATAATATGCAATGACCCTTCATCCTGGGTACTACTTTTCCATGCTTCTGATCCATTGCTCTTATGTCCCATTTCTCTTTTGGCTACTGGGTAAAAACAATGCCATGACATTCATTAAATAGAAATGTCATTCACTTGCTCAAAAATCGGAAGTACTGTGTGTAGTATGGCATACTTAATTTAATACTCAAGCTAGAATCTATGAAACTGGATCCCACAAATTTTATTTTGTAATTGACCCCATTTCTTAATTTCGAATTTTTTAAATTACAAATCAATTTTTTTTTGACGATCTTGGGGCTTGAACTCTGGGCCTGAGCACTGTCCCTCAGCTCTTCAGCTCAAGGCGAGCGCTCTACCACTTGAGCTACCGTACCACTTACGGTTTTCTGAGTGTTTATTGGAGATAAGAGTTTCACGGGACTTTCTTGCCTGGGCTAGCTTTGAACCGTGATCCTCAGATCTCAGCCTCCTGAGTAGTTAGGATTACAAGCATGAGCCACCAGCGCCTGGCACAAATCAATTTTTTTAAAAAGTGAGGCCCTCTTGTTGGGCCCAAACCTTGTTAGAATAATTCTGCCATTTCTAACAGAGATAGCAAATTTGACAAATGAAACAGTACCTTGACTTTACTACCTCCTTTGGTGGCAAAGGTGTATTTTACACCTTTCCTGGTAACTTGCTCAACAATGCTCACCCAATTTTATAAATCAATTAAAAATAAAGTTGATCTATCAAACAAATCATCATATAATAACTTTACAAAAAATGTGCTTAATTTCTTAACTCTTTAACATTTTGGTCTAGTGTAGGTGTTGCTCAAAAATTTAAACACAAAAAGTAAAATCTTCTTAGTCAGATGTAATGACAAAAGCCTTCAATTCTACCCAACTGGGAGACAGATACCTGGGCTAAGGTCGTTGGCCAGCCCAAGCCAAAAAGAAGGAAAAAGTTTCCTCTAGATCCTGTCTTTCTCAATGGCTGGGTGTAGTGGTAAAAACCTGCAATCACTTCACAGAGAGGTGTAATTAGTGGGTGTGGTGACATGTCTATCGTCCCAATAACACGAAAAAGCACAAATGAGAAGATCACAGTCCAAGCGGACTCAGGTATAAAGCAAGATCTTATATCAAAAATAACCAATACAAAAAGGGCCAGAGGAATGGATGAATTCACAAAGTACCTGTCTGGCAAATATGGGGCCCTGAGTTCAAACCCCATTACTACAAAAACAAAAATCTTTTTTTAAGACCAATGTTTGGGATATTAATTCAAAATCTGAAAGATTTGTGTTTTCCTCCCACAAAATTATTTCTGTTTTATTTTGTAGGTTGTTTCTTCTGTGTTTTGTATAATGAGGGTTTGAACTAGATGGTGTGCTTTGTATAATGAGGGTTTGAATTAGATGGTGCTACTTCCTACAAAAGCAACAAAGACACACCAATCCTATCTTTCACCTACTATCCTATGCCCTTTCAGTTCTGATATGACACTAAAATTATACGCTTCAATGGAATTTCAGCAAACTATATGAAACCAAAGAATAAGGGAATGGCCCTTCACAAAACCTTCTCATTGCTGAGTAGTTTGGCTGCAGTAAGGAAGATTGCTTCTCCCTTTACAATGTCATGTCATTCTGTGGGTTAGATGTGCCTGGGCAATTCTTCCAGCATCCCTATTACAAATGCTTTAGGTAAGGGAACAGAATACCACCAACTTCAACTTTGCAAGCCAACTCTAACCACCTCCAAATCACTAACCCCTAACACTTCAAACATCCCCAGCTCTACCCTTGAGGAGAATTCATAGCTTTAAAACAAAGAAATAGGAATGTGAAAACAGCTTTTCTCTATGTGTTATTGGTAATAAGAGAAAATTCAGAAGGGAAACTCCAGGATTGTTTTTGTAGAAGTAAAGGGCAAAAATACTCCCACCAATCTTTCCTTTCACTCACTTCGGTGCCAAAATTATTCTTGCACATAATGCTTTGTGCAACAACTGGAAAAGGATCATGAAATTGTGAAACTCTGAATCTCTTCAGCTTCTTCTAATGTTGATTTCTAATAGTAGCCATCATCTTGAAAGAATTGTCCATGGCAAAAAGTGCTAAGCTTCCAGAGAGCATTGATAGGTTTCCTTCTGTCTACATAAATTTTCAAACTATTATTTCTTGGATATTTGTATTTCTCTGTTCAGTTGAGATTTTCCAAGAATATATTAATGTGAGTATTTGAAAACCATTTGAAAAATTACAATGAGCGACTTTACTTTTAGGAAAATAGAGTTTGGAAGCAAGTGTGGTGGTGTATACCTGTAATCCTAACTCAGGGGAGGGTGAGGCAGGAAGATGGAGAACTTGAGATCAGCATGAGCTACATAGGAGTTCAAGGCCAATCTGGGCTACTTAATAAGAAAGTGATGTCAAAATATGAAAAGATAAATATAGAAAATAAAGAGCACCATGGAAAAGGAAGAAAGAAAGGGAAGAAGGAGAGGGTTTAATTGGAAGTACTTTAGCTCTCTGCAATGTATCTTCAAATAAGTATGTATAATAACTGATTCCAAGAATATTTCACTATAGCTATAACTTTCTACGCATTGCAAGAGAACTTAAATCAAATGTTAGGAGAGGGAATCTATAAATATGTATTGACAATGAAGTATCTGTAGCTGAGTATTCTTAAAACACTTTAGCTGAGTATTCTTAAAACACCAGCTGAGTATTCTTTAAAAAATAAAAAATAGGGGCTGGAAAGGTGGCTCAGTGGTAGAGCACTTACTTAGCAAGCATGAGGCCCTGGGTTCAATTCCTCAGCACCACATAAGCAAAAAAGCCAGAAGTGGCGCTGTGGCTCAAGTGGTAGAGTGCTAGCCTTGAGCTGAAGAGCTGAGGGACAGCGCCCAGGACCAGAGTTCAGCTGAAGAGCTGAGGGACAGCGCCCAGGACCAGAGTTCAGGCCCCACTACTGGACCCCCCCAAAAAATAGCAATTTAGTAGACAGATTCTTTATATACTAATAAGAAATTATACTATACATAAAACTATTTAATGACTTCATATAAAGAAGTAAATTTCTTGCTCCATTCAACCTTAGAAAGACCTGTATGTTCATTGCTAAACAATCTATCAGATTAGAAAAGATACTATATAGATTCTTATTGAATCATATGCCTTTCTAGATGTCATATGTTTGAGATTTATTTCTTTTAATTCATGTCATTGTAGTTCACTCTTTTTCCTGTTTAATTACCTTGTGTTAATTGATTTCTCCATTACAGTATCTATGACTATTTTGGTTAAGTCCAGTGTTTTCACTATTCTAAACACTGGTATTTTAAACTATTTTGTTCATACCTATTAGAACATACATCTTAGATAACAATGAGGATCATCAGGTCGCAAAAAATATGTGTTTAATCTTACTGGATATTAACAGATTTGCTTCAAAGTAAATGTTCACCTTCAGACATGAAGTTGTTCATTGCTCCATAACCATCAGCCTTTGAAACTATCACAAACTTTAATGTATGCTAATAAGTTGAGTGAATGTAGGATGGCATCTCATAGTGGTTTCACTTTGTATTTCCTTGTTTAATAAGAAAAATGCATTTACTTCAATGACATTGTTTCATGTCTGATGGATATTAAATTACCTCTTGGTTTTTAAAATGGGTGTTTGGTGTTTTTATATTGTCCGTTCATTGTTCTATTGAGTTGTTTCATGTTTCTTATTGATTAGTAGAAGTACTTTGTATTTTCAAGATAGCAGTCCTTTGTCAAGTATGACTGTCTTCTCTCACTATGTGTGTGGCCGTGGTTAAAATAAAATAGTGTCAGAAATATTTTAACTCTTAGAGCTTGAGTTTGAATCAATGAAGGGAAATCCAAATCAAATCTTGTATTTTGCCAAAGATATGAGATTGCAAGGCCTGGAATGTGAAGTAGTGTCAAGACAGATTTAAGGAATCAATCGAAAAAAGGAAAAGGCATTAAAAGATTTGGCAGGAGAATGAAATAAAAAGTATTAGTGTTGAATCAACAAGAGAGCTCAGTCCTAGATAGGAAGAAGGAAAACAATCAACTCAGGAGAGATTCTGAATGGAATTGATGTGTAATCATGAGTCCTCATGACAAAGAGCAACAGACGTGGGAGTACTGTGGGAGTGACAACTCATCTCTGCTCTCTGGGTATATTCATCTGCCAATTCATGCCTTTACTAGGCATGACAGGTGTCTTACGGGAATTAAAAGCGCTAAGCAAGAAATGAATTTCCTCAAACTCTTTTTACCCAAAAAAATGTACCTACTAATTACCTTGTTCTTATTTTATATTTGGTAAGCAAAAGTTCTTTATTCTGAATCAAATGTTCCTTGTCTAACCTATCTTGTACAACATAAACTGATGTCTGTAGCTCACAGGTAAGAGTGTTTGCTTAAGAGAGTGTAAGCATTAGTGAAGGAGAAGTATTTATTTGCTGCTTTAGAAATTAACAATTTTTTTAGCTCAGATATTTATCCTACTTTCAGCTAAAAATAAGTATATAAAAACTGTCTTTGTACTAAACACTAAAAATACTATTTTTTTTAATCTTAGTACTATTTCTAGAAAGGAGTACTAGTTTTTTCCTTACTTCACCAATGAAGAAGAATGACCTTTAGAAAACATGGAGGAGGTTCTCCCAAGGTCATAGAAGCTGTGAGAGGCTGAGGACGGATGTGGCATTTCTCATAGCTTGAACTCTTCATTGGAGGAAGATCAGCTCAGTGGCGGATTTGAAATTCACTGTTAATTTGTTTCC